TTAAAATTCTCAGGGCATAAACAGATGGTATAGTTCCAACCTAGACTACTATATCATTCTGTAATCTTTTGGACGCAATAAGAGTGGCTTCCTCAGAGCTTTGAACTCTGCAGAGCTGGAGCTGAAAGCAGCTTAGAAAAGCACAGGAAAGCAGGTTCCATCCTGGTGGCTATTCGCTTCCCTTTCCTCTTCCTTTTCGTAGTCCAGCAAAGTCCAAGGCCTTGGAATTCTAGCCGGATCTACTGGCTGATGTAGAAAAAATGAGCAAGGAGAATCAGCTAGGCAGCTGGCCCAGGCGTCAACTCAGGATGGACCATTCTTATTGAGCTCTGGTGCAATTTACTTTTGTAAATTCGCGTTGTTACTGAATAAACAGTCGAAGTTAGCTGTGACAGTTCAACTGAGGATGTAAGAGGACATGACATTTTAACATAGTGTGTGCTTCAAAAAACCTTTTACTTTGCAATAATTTCAGACTTCCAGAGAAGTAAATACAACAGAGGATTTTGATATGTCTCCCCTAACTCCACTGTCTGACTCGGCTAGGCCTCGCTTGGACGAATGACTTGTATGAAGCCACACAGCTAGTGACTGAAGAGCAGCTTTAGCACCTGGGACCGACTTGCCTAGTTCTATTTGTTCTCTGCCACCACAGTGCCCCTCGTTATCATTATCAAGTAACATTTAAAAAAATGCTTTGATTTGAATTACTTTAAGACTCATAAAAAGTTGCAAAAATAGTACGGAGAGAACCATGTGCCCTTCACTCAGCTTCTCCCAACAATAAAATCTTCTATAACAATAGTACGTTGTCAGAACTGGGAGCTTGACGTTGATCCAATGCTCTTGAGTCAGATACAGACCTTCAAGTAACATTTTTAACATATAACTTTGTGCATTCTGCTAAGCAAAAGCCAGAAAAAGACCGCATCTTTTCATATTAAGGAGCTTACAATCTAAACGGGCATGTAAAGATAATTCACCGAATAACAGCATGCAAATACAGCCCCAAATATATTTTCAGACCTTCTTTCAGAAAAGTGAGAGATGGTGGGGAGAGTATGGGTTTTGAACTCAGATAAATCTGGATCTGAATTCAGCTTTGCTGCTTAAGATTTGGGTGTCCCTGGGGAAAGAGTTTCCCTGAACCTCATTTGCTTGATGTAAAACACTGAATATTATTATCTACATCTTAACATGGTGAGAATTAAATTGTGTATGCTATACATAATATATATATATTATACATGTATATATACACATATATATACATGTATAATATATATATATATATAGAACAGGACTTGGCACATAGTAGATATTTAATAAATGGTCACCATAATAATTATTAATAAAAGAATAATCCTTAATAATCACAATTTTCTCATTGCCCTCTTGATCTCAGGTCTGGCTGAAATACCACATTGGTCTTTCTGCCTCTTAACTTACTCAGTGAGAGTTTAGCTAGAAATCGAAGAACCAGCAGCAGTTCCTTGTGAAGAAAGAGAGGCCCAGAGAGGGCAACATGACTTTCCCAATGTGGCCACGCTGGTGGGTCCTCGGATCCTCCTGCTTCCACATTAGTGTTTTAGTAAAATATGGGAAGATTGTCAAACACTGAAATAACGCACGTAATTTACCCTTTCTTTTAAAGAAACCTTTGGGGGCCAGCCCCGGTGGCCCAGCGGTTAAGTTCGGCATGCTCCACTTTGGCGGCCCAGGTTAGGTTCCCTGGTGTGCACCTACAGCACTCGTCTGTCAGTGGCCGTGCTATGGTGGGGGCTCACGTACAAAAAGAAGAAGACTGGCAACAGATGTTAGCTCAGGTGAATCTTCCTCAGGAAAAAAAAAGCTTTGGAAAATGACTATGATTCTCTTGAGTGTAGGACAGGGTCAGGGTGCATATCTAACAGCCGAAACAGTGATGCTTATCTCTCGCCCCATCATCAGTTTACAAGCAGCTCCGCTCAAGCCCAGGTTGACACATTTGCTCCTTTCCCAGTCTCCCCAGCTCCACGTTCAAGTCCAAGGGTCTTGCCCCCAAAGGGAAGTTTTCATCACAGGCACAGTAAGAATGCTTTGGAATTTAGAATCTGTGTAAATTCCTAAATGAGCTTTATTTGATTATCTGAACAAAAACGTTCACAATTCACTGTGTGAACCAGGGCCTCGGCGTTTTCAAAGGCCCACACTGGGGCCTCGCTCAGCAGGTGGTAGTCCACTCACATCCTGCTTCACACCACACCTGACTTCCTCACCTGCCTCTCTCTCACTTGAATTTCCTGCCCTTGGCATGGACAGAAAAGGGGGCTCACAAACACAGCAGGTGCTAGTTTGGTCCCACAGCGTGGAAGGAGCTGTGCCTGGAAACTTGGCCATGTATTTAAGTCATAAAGTCATGATTCTGGGGGGACTGGTGTTGGAATGTCTCCCCAGTGAGCGGGAACTAACAGGCCTCAGACCAGACTACACAAAAACCTCATTTGGGTCCACCCAAGCAGGCTGATGGGCAGACAGGACCTGAGGATAAAGAAAAAACTCCTTTGCATGTTGTCGCAAGGAATAACTTTCAGGCCTTTTTTTATGTCTTTAACCTGTCCGTCCCTCGCCCCACCTCCCAAAAGATCGCATTTCCTTCTGCCAGTTTATCTCGTCTGTGTGTGGGTTTCTTAGGGGCTCAGGTATAGCTTTTAGTAGTTTAGTAGAATTGCTAATTCAAAAAAAGTCTCTTCTATGAAGCATACAATTCACGTAACTAGAATATCCTAAAAGAAATTAGGCTATGTCTAAATTAACTGTGCCGTGTGTGGTAATATAAATGGAAAATGTGGTTTGTTATGGGCTGAATTGTGCCCTCCCCCCGTTCGTATGTGGAAGGCCTAACCCTCAGTCCCTCAGAATGTGACTGTATTTGGAGACAGGGTCTTTAAACAGGGATTAAGTTAAAATGAAATCTTTAGGGTCGGCCCTAATCCCATGTGGTTTGTGTTCTCCTCAGAAGACGAGACTAAGACGCAGACATGCGTGTGGACAGAGGAAAGACCATGTGAGGGCACAGGGAGAAGGGGGCCGTGTCCAAAGCAAGGAGGGGGGCCTCAGGAGAAACGAACTCTCTTGACACTTTGATCTTGGACCCCCAGCCTCCAGAACTGTGAGACCATAAATGTCTGTTGGTCAAGCCACCCAGTCTGTTATGGTGGCCCCAGCAGACCAATATGTGGTTTAATCATAGCTGCACTGTGATTTTAATCAATCAATCATAAAGGTTATTGGACACCTGGTTTTTAAAATCACCATGTAAATTGAGTATACTTTTGTTTTCTCTTCTTTTTAACAGCATAATTGAGTGATAATTAACATACAGTAAACTATACATACTTTAAATGTACAATCTGATAAATTTTGACTTCTAGGCTCATGAAACCACAATCAAGATAATGAACACATGTCATCTTCAAAAGTTTCCTTGAGCTCCTTTGTAATCTCTCTCTGTCCCTCCTTCTCCTTCCCCCATTTTCCAGGCCACCACTGAATCTGCTTTCTGTCATTATAGATTAATTTGCCATTTCTAGAGTTTTATATAAATGGAAGCATATAGTATGTACTCTTTTTTTGTCTAACTTCTTTCACTTTGCATAATTATTTGGACATTCATCCAGGGTGTTGTGTGTATCAAGAGGTCATTCTTTTTTATGGCTGCGTAGTATTTCACAGTAGGGCGGTACTCAGTTTATCCATTTATTTGTGAAAGGGCTCATTAAGTCTTGTTTACAGTTTCTTTCTAACAAAAAATAAGTTTTCATTTATTAATGGGAATATAAGATGTAAGTACCACATTGTCTTTATTTGCTGTCTTATCCATGTTATTTTATTTTTAAAATACGAAAATAATTATAAAAGGTTTTCTGCTGATAATAAAGGTCCCTATTGTTTTCCAAAAGGGATTTAATTTCTTAATAGTCTCCTAGAATGGGAGTTTCAAGAACATGATCTTGATTTTAATTGATTCTCGACTATAACATCTTATTATCTTTGACCATGATGGTTTTATCTCCTTTTTTTCACCTAGTTTAATCAATACTTTTGCTTACAATTTTTTGAGATTCTGTATGGAGCTGCTGTAAACATTCCTGCTCGAGTCTTTGTATGGACATATACTTTCTTTTCCTTTGGGAAAATACATAGAAGTGGAATGGTTGGATCATGTGGGAGGTGTGTTTAACTTTTTAAAAACTGCCAAACATTTCTCAAATGGCTATACCATTTTGCATTATCTCCAGCGTGCATGAGAGTTCCGGTTCCTCTCTGCCTTTGCCAATACCTGATAGAGTTGGTCTTTTTGATTTCAGTCATTCTAATAGGTATGTAGTAGTATATCATTGTGATATTAATTTGCATGTCCTTAAAGATGTTGAGCATCATTGCCATCCATATATGTTTTTTTAAATGACATCTGCTCAAATCTTTTGCCTATTTTTAATTGAGTTGTTTGTTTTCTTATTATTGAGTTTTGAGAGTTCACTATGTATTCTGGATACGGGCCTTTTGTCAGATACATACTTTGCAAATATTTTCTCCAGTCTGTGGCTTATGTTTTCATTCTCTTAATAGTGTCTTTCAAAGAGCAGAATTTTTGTTTTTATGAAATCCAATTAATCAAAATTTTTTTCATGGATTGTGCTTTTAGTGTCATAGCTAAGAAATCTTTGCCTAGTCTTCTCTCCAAGATTTTCTCCTATGTTTTCTTCAAAAAGTGTTATAGTTTTAGGTTTTACATTTAAGTTTATGGCCCTTTTTCTTTTTTTTTTGAGGAAGATTAGCCCTGAGCTAACTGCTGCCAATCCTCTTCTTTTTTGCTGAGGAAGACTGGCCCTGAGCTAGCATCCGTGCCCATCTTCCTCTACTTTATATGTGGGACGCCTACCACAGCATGGCGTGCCAAGCGGTGCCATGTCCGCACCTGGGATCCGAACGGTGAACCCCGGGCGGCTGAAGTGGAACCTGCGAACTTAGCTGCTGTGCCACCGGGCCGGCCCCTTTATGGCCCATTTTGAGTTAATTTTTATATCTGGTATGAGGTGTGAATCACAGATCATCTTTTTCTCTTTTGCATATGGATGTTCAATTGTTCAGCACTATTTGTTGAAAAGACTAGTCTTTCTCCAGTGAATTGCCTTTGTATCTTTGTCAGATATCAGTTGTCCCTATATGTATGGGTTTATTTTTGGACTTTTTAATTCTGCTCTATTGATATTTTTGTCTGTCTTTATGTTAATACCACAATGTCTTGATTGCTGTAGCTTTATAGTAAATCTTGAAATTAGGAAGTGTTAGCCCTCCAACTTTGTTCTGCTGAAGGTCCTTTGTAAATGGCATTATCATCAGTGCCTTCGTTGCCACTCAGAGATCCTTTTGGGTGGACTTAGTGAATTTCCTCTCTTTATCTCCACTGTGGCTCTTACAGACGTGTGCCCCTCTGCTCAAGCCCCTACCTTGCTCTACGCCTCTCACTGTCAGTTCTTGACTTTGCCCCCTGCTTGGTCCACACGTCCAGGTCCTCAGCTGAGAACTCCGTTAAGTGGTTTCTCTCCCCCAGCTGTAAGGTTATCTACATTTGCACTAGTCCTTACCTGCTTCCTTCCTGGCTCGGAGAACAATACAGGTTATAAGGATGATCGGATAATTATAGCTAACAAATACTGAGTTCTTTCTATGGGCCAATCACAGATACCATTTCTCATTTAATCTGCAGAATCTGTCAGATGGAGATACTGTCATTGTTCTCACTTTACAGATGAGGGACCGGAGGCAGCGAGGGTCATTCTGTTTCCCGTGGTTGTGTGGCTGGTAGGAGTTGGAGCTAGAAGTCAAGCCCAGGTCTGTCTGATTTCTGTCCTTCCTCCTGTCCCAAGCTCACAGCCTGTCAGTGCTCTCCGTCCTATCCCCTCCTGGCTCATCAAGAAGCTTGCTCCATTTGTTACCCTTCCTCTCTTTGTCTCTTCCACTTTCCCTCTCTCCTTGCTTCTTTCCATCAAGGTGATCAAACCAAAACAAGGGTCTCAACTACTGTATGAAGTTGAAGTTTTTCAAATGTTTGTCTGCGGCCAGACTTTGATTCTGCAGATTCATATGTTCACTTGCGTATTGGATATCTCATGGCCTCTCAAACATCAAAACAAAACTTACCACTTCCCTCCACACTGGCTCTTCCTCTGGTGTTCTCTGGCCAGCCAGTGGCTCTGCCAGCCACACAGTAGCCCAAGCCAGAAACTGGCAGCAGAAAGACTCAGATTTTGGTTTCAAATCCAAACTTACTAGACAGAAGACATTTGAACCTCAATTTCCCAACCTGAAAAATGGGCGTAATAATTCTATTTCACAGGGTTGCTTTCAGAGCTAAATGACCATATTAGCTGCTTAATAATAATTATTATTGTTGTCATCACTGTCATTGTTATCGTCATCACCTATTACTCCCTCCTTCTTTCTAGTAACCTTTACCTACTTGCAGTTCCACCAAAACATCCTGCACCATCATTTTAATTTCTTTGATTCTGCTATTAACTTCTGCTGGAAGGTTTTCCTGACATTCTAGACCAGTGATCACTAAAGTGCCACCCATGGGGGTGCAGGAAGAAAACAGCAGAACTTCTATTTATGTTCACTTAAAAAGTGTCTTAGGTTAAGGTTCTATTTATATGTGTTTTATAATATATTAATAGAGTAGATATAATATTTAGAAATAAGTGTAACTATTGAGGGTACGCATTCAAAATTTTTGAGAAGGACATACGATAGAAATAGTTGGGAGGTCAGCATTCTTGACGGGTTAAGGGCCCCTATTTTGTTCTTCTCCAGAACATCGTGCTGTTTTGTCGTAGTTGCTTGTCCCCCGCATGGACACCCTGAGGGCAGGGACTGTGATTCCGTCAGGGTTAAGTTGCAGACAACAGCCTCGACTCTAGTTAGTTTTAGCAGAAATGGATTCATTATAGGCTGTTGGCTTCTAGCAGAGGTTCTTAAACTTGGGCACGCATCAACATCAGCAGAAAGGCTCCTCAGAGCCCAGAGTGCTGGGCCCCACCCCCCAGAGCTTCTGATTCAGTGGGTCTATGTAGGGCCCAAGAATCTGCATTTCTATCAAGTTCTCAGGTGCTGCTGATACTGCTGGGCCAGAGACCACCCTTTGGGAACCACTGAATTACAGAATGGTGGCAAAGGCTGAAGAAGGAGGCTCCAGGTGGGGGATCTGCGCCCAAGTCCCAGAGCCACCCTGCAAAACTGGCCTGGCCAGGTAGTGCTGCACCTGCTGCTGCCACGGCTGACCCAGAAACCACACTGCCTCTGCGGCAGGCCGGAACGCTGCCCACGCAGGAAGCTGTGCTGATGCTGATGCTGATGCTGCTCAGCATCCACGAGGTTAGAGACTGACTAGACGTTAGTGCCTTTGTCACCCCTGCTGGAGAAGGTCCAAAGCACCTCCACCCTGTGCTTCTAGAGGAGCAGTGTGGTGGCCCTAACAATGCTCACGCTGCATCATGTACCAGAGTATCTGCCTGGGGTAAGTTACCATTATTATTAATCAACCTGGAAGGTTACTAGTGGAAACCCCAGGGCAAGGGAATTGGAAAATGAGGTCTTTAGCATTCCAGCCTTTAGTGCAAAGGAAATCTTGCTAGAAGGAGGGTGGAGTGGTTTTGAGTGAGGCAAGAGCAGCATCTGCTGTGAACTGTATTTTTCCTCTTGGTTCCTGGTCCAGGCCTGACCCTGAGGATGTGGCACAGAGTAGGCCCTCAGCGAATAACAGTTCCATTCTCCCTCTCCCTTCCCCTGTCTGCTGGCCTCAGTCACTCCCTACAACATGCTGCTGTGTCTTGGCTGAGGGTCTGCCCTGCTGGTAAAATCTGCCTGACTCCTGGCTGGGGTCTTCTCTCTGTCTTTCCCGGCAGTGAGGGAACATGCTAGCTGTACAGGGGGAGCCGAATTTTGCAGTAACAAGTCTGCCTGAGGCTGTTCCTGTCCAGGAGTCAGTCCCACTCCCACTTGGTTCACCTGGGATCTAGGTCACTGTGTCTTGCCCCAAGTGGTCTCTCCCCATCTCCTTCCCTCCACCTCCTCATCCCCAGAGACGGGAAGCCAGTGTGCCACCTCAGTCTTGACAGTCTCTGAGCCTGAGTCCATTCCTAGAAGGAGACCTGGTATCCTCCCACAGAGGGCTTGTGAAGGGGGTTGGAGTAACCCTCCCTCCCTGGGGCTTGCAGATCCTACAGTCGTTTCCAAAGGACCCTTTAGGCAATGGATGCAAATAGTTGAGTCCCCTGGTGGCTCCCACTACTTCAGGTCAAGGTGTCTTCTAGGCAGCTCCTAAGGCTTGCTCCACTCTCCTGAGTATGAGCCTGGAGGTGCGGGTTGGGGATAAAGTTCGGGTGTGGTGAGAGTTCAGGCAACACTTCCTTAGTCATAAGTTCCAGCCTCTTCCTTTAAGGCCACGCTGCAGTGTCACCCTCAGCCTTTGCTGACTATGACATAGCAAACTGTTTGAGAATTTTGGCAGTGCTCGTAGCGTCAGAAGCCAAGCTCTACACAGAGAGGCGGCATGACACAGCGGGAGGAGTGTAGGACTTGGAGATAGAAGGTCTCCAGGACTGAATCTTTTCTCTTCATTGACTGGTTATGTGACTCTGGACACATTGACTAATCTTTCCTTGACTCAGTTTCCCCACCTGTAAAAAGAGAAAACTCTGCCTTAGACACTTTGAGGATTTAATATAAAGTGCTTGGTACATATTGTCAAATGGCAGTGATTATTAATATTTACAGAGACGAGTACTGAAGATGGTCACAGGGCTAACAGCTTATTTGCATACGCTCATAAACTCATGTACTCATCTCAGTCAGTGGGATAGACACTATCCTTATAAACTTTACTCATTTTCTATCTCAAGTCCCATCTGGAATAAGGCAGGGCATAAAAATTATGTTTTAGCAGGCTGGCCCCATGGCCTAGTGGTTAAGTTCACCCCCCTCCACTTCGGCAGCCTGGGATTGTGGGTTTGGATCCCGGGCACAGACCTACATCACTTGTCAGCCATGTTGTCATCAGCCATGCTGTGGAGGTAACCCACATACACAACAGAGGAAGATGGGCACAGATGTTAGCTCAGGGCTAGTATTCCTCAGTCAAAAAAAAAGAGGTAGATTGGCAACAGGTGTTAGCTCATGGCAAATCTTCCTCAGGAAAAAAAGGAAGATTTTTTATATTATACATTCATTTAGGGAGTGAGCATTTCCCGTGTCAGGTGCTGGAGATCAGATCTGAAAGAGACAGCACCTGGCCTGGAGGGTCTCACAGCCAAGGGGGCGAGGCCGACACATACACATCTAATCACACTACAGTGGGACGTGTTCCGTCGTAGGATGGGCACGTGGTGCTGAGAGCCCAGAAGAGGGGTGGCCGAAGTGCAGTCCTGCAGGTCGTTGCATGCCAAGTGGAGGAGTTGGGACTCTATTGTATAGGCGATGGGGAGCCCCCTAGGAGAGACAGAGGGCTGAAATTGCATTTGGAGCCCCCATTGCTGGAGGGACGGGGGACAGGCAGGACTGCAGGCACGGAGACCACCAGTCCAGGCGAGCAGTGGTGTGGAGACCATGGGTGGATTCTGGAGCTGGCGAGAGGGACACTCAACAGGACGAGGTGACTGCCTGGATGTAGGGATAAAGCTGAGAGGCGAGGACATGGGTGACTTCTGGGATTCTGGCTCATGTGACCGGGTGGATGGTCGTGCTTTTGGCCACACTTTCTTTGAACACAACAAGATCGTGGGCTATTCTTAGGAATTCTGATTTCTATGGGTTACTTTTGGTACCAGAGTTTATTTAATTGTCCCATCTTTTCTAATACACTTACATCCCATGACTAGCAGGGGCTGTGAGTAAGAGTAGAATGAGGGCGGGAGTCTTTGCCTTTCTCCCTCCAGTGGGAAGCGATTCAGGCTAACTGATTTGCTGTTCGCTCACACAGCCTACTTGGGAAGAAAAGGGAGCGGGGGTGAGTGCTGGGCAAGGGCCCCAAACAGCCCTGCCTCAGCCACTTTACTGGCACAAATGCATTGATGAGGAAATATGTAATACTGTGTTTGTATGGGAGAAATTCAATGAGGAGAAAAGTGTTGTAAAGGTGATCTGACCAGATATTGCTCAACGGACTGGCTTAAGGAACAGGGACAGTTCTGGCTGATGCGTTTAAGGAAAAGAAATGAAAACAAAAACAGTCTGATTGTATTTTTCTCAGGTTTGGGTAAACTTGGCGGGAAGCTGTTTTCTCAGTTTGAAAAAGAATTTTTCTTTCAATTAAGATGAATGTAGAGTTTAATTACAAAGAACCCGGGTAAAGTAAGAATATACTGTGGTAGATTTTAAAAGGTAAGGGAATTCATGGTGAAAGAAGTAGGCCCTACTCTGAGACAGATGATTTGGGTGTCTTTTGCATTACTGAGCATTGAGATTTTAAGCTGCAGCGCGTATATGCTTACCGTTGGGGTGTGTGTGTTTATCTCACACCAAAGACTGAAATCTGAAGGAAGCCAGTTGCCAGGTGTGCTGTTCTGCTGCAGTGCACTGACGTGCTGTGGATTGCTGCCACGGAGTCATTTTCCACAAACATATCTTTCTGGTGTAATGCTCTCTCCCTGAAAGCAAACAACTTCTAATGCTGGATTCTGGAGTGTGCCATTAAGCCTCTCCAAACACAAATATGTCCACCACATTCTAAAGGAACGGCCCGCACAGCCACTTCTCTCTGTGACTCTGGATCCGTGCGAAACTGGGAGCTAGGGAGTATTAATGACGCACCTCTCCCCAGACACGGAGCCTCAGAACCGAGCCTTCAGATCCACACCCAAGCAGGTGGGAAGGGAGAGGAACGTTTTAGGTCGAACCCTAACTGACTGTCTTGTTAACCTGACACCACACAGCAGCCTGGGCTGAGGGTGTCCCCATGCTCCATGTGGGCTTGGGGCTCCACCGGTGGTGACTGAAAGCTGTTGGCTCCCTCTGTTCCAAACAAGGCGTGTAAAGGGACAACAGCTGAAAGGTGACTCGTAGTTTGTAACTGACTGGCTCTGCTTGACAGCCTAGGGTATCTATAATCTTTCAAAGCCACATGCAAAGCCTCCTGCACCTCGTGAATCATCCAACTGCAACATTCCTCTTTATCAGGCTGTTTGTCACCATAAAAGCTGAACGACAATAAACTCTGCCTTCCCAAGTTGTCCCTTGTACTAGACGCACGACCGCTTCAGCCTTTCTAAATTATAGCAACCGGTGTCTGCTCCACGTGGCTGGCCCCTGGGGGCTGTAATTGCAGAAGTACAACCTGGCAGTTATGTCACATGGCCCAGGAAACCGCCAGGGTACCAACGGGCTTCCTGCCAGTCGACCTTTGGCAGCTGAAGGCCCCATGCCCCATCTGCAGCCACATCTATGTGTGCACAGTTCTCTGATATTCCCAGGGCACAGTGGAGGGGCCTGTTAGAAACACTGAGTCAAAACTCAGCACCCTGAACCCTTGCTCTGCCGCCGTATCTTCTTCCTGTTAATGGAGCGACTTGGCCAGGTGTTAATTGGCAAGGGTGTTTGTTTGCTTTTGTTTTTATTAAAAAAAGAACTGTTTTTTAGGATGAGACATTTCCTACTTTTGAATTAGCTAAGAGCATGTTTCCTACTACAAATATAAGCACTATCTATACAGGGATGCAGAACGTCTTGCCCAGTTTAACCCTTGGGAACGGAGGCCTAGCTTCATGGCTCATGGGATTTGGGCCACGCGTGGCCTGTGTGGTTGAGGATGTGGTTGCTGGAGATGCTTGGCCCTGTGTCTAGTTCGTATCTCAAGCCTCAGTTTCCTCTTTTGTAAAATGAGATGTTTATGAGGAGTTGATGAGATAATAGACGTAAATAACGATAGCTGGTACTTGTGCAGTCCTCACAACATCCCAGGCACCGGTCTTTCATTAACTCTAGTCCAGTGAGGGAGGGACTACTGCTATCATCCCCATCTTACAGATGAGAAGCTGAGGCACAGAAAGGTACAGACAGTAACTTGCCCAAGGTCACACACTACTAAGTGGCAGACCTGGGATTTGAACCCAAGCTTGGCTGTGGAGCCCATGTTCTTACTCAGGACATTAAACTGCCTTTCTAAGATGGCTGGTGAGGGCCATGCACTTGGTAAATACCCAGGAAATATCAGAAGGGGGTGGTGAGCAGCTTTGCCATGCCAGAGCTGTGTTTCTCTTCTCTGGACTCTGTGCTAAGAGGCTTTGGTGGCCCTTTACAGGCCTAATAGTATCGTCTGGTTCTCAAAGGGCCAGTTCCTTCTCTATGGCCACAGGAGGTTGGAGCAACCAGACGTCTGGTAGGGTGTCAAGCCAGCAGTCAGCGTAGGGATGGTAAGATGCCACCAGGCTGCTGCTGAATTGGGGCAAGCCAGCGCTGGGCTCCTCAGGTCCTGGGGGAACCTGGGGGGTTGTGTGGGAGCAGGGCTGTGGCCGGGAGGAGACACTTGACCTGTGTGTGTGTGTCTAGGGAGGTGACGGAGAACCCGAGGTGACTTCCAGTCCTGAGAAAGAGAGCTTGGGGTGGGCTGTTGGGTCCTGGCCGACGTCTCAGCTACATTCACGTGGGGAGACTGAGGAGGATAATCCAGGCTGAATGTGAGTCCTCCCCTCCGCCAGGCTGCTCTTTTAGAGACTATGGGAGATGCTGTAATAGTAAAGAGATGCCCATCAGAGGAGACACCATGTACAGGTTTTGGAGTGGCCATGACTTGGGCATTTCCTCACGGAAGGCTAGACTTGCCGACACGCCTATGCTGAAGCTTGCTTTAGATTTTTACCCTCTAGGTGACTCTGCTCAATGACTGGCCAAGGACTACTCTAGGGGCTGCCAATTCTAAGACAGTAGAAAACACAGTCCCTGCCCTCAAGGAGCTCACAGTCATTGGAGGAGACAAACACATAAGCAGACGCTGTAAACCAGTAGGGTAATCTAGGAGTAAGCAGCGGGGATGGTGGGAATTTTGGGAAGGGCATCGAGCCCTGGCAGGGGAGCGGTGGGGTCAGAGATGACTGGTGACACCTGCTGAGCGGCAGCCTTCCAGGCAAAGGAGGAGGAAGCATGATCAGGTACAGGCAACAGGGAGGCAAGGGATGAACAGTTCTGTCTAGATGGGGCTTAAAATATCAGGCGAGGTGAGGCAGCCGATAAAGGTGGGGAGGTAGGGCTTTACTGGCTTCCAGCAATGACTGTGTCATTAGATACATGAGCTGCTTTGTAAATAGACCCCTCTGACAGCAGTATGGAAGATGGCATTCGTGGGGGAAAAGGCTGAGAGACCTGTTGCATTAAATCCAGATGGCATGATGAGGGCTCGAGCTAGGACTGCGATCGTAGGAAAGCCAGCTAAATAAAATAAGCAGGATTTGATGCTTGCAGGGTTATGGGTGAAGGGTTGAGGGAGAGAGAATGAGGATTTAAGGATGGCTCCCAGTTTTCTAGCTTGGGTAGATGGTGGTACTACCCACTGAGTTTGAAATTATAGGAGAGGAACTGGGTTAGGACAGGGGATGATGAGGCCAGTCTTGAAGATGTTGAGTTTGAAGTGCCTGACGGATGTTTAGGTAGAAGGTCCAGGAGGCAGTTCCAGAGGCCTCTGCTAATGTCATTAGCATCTAGAGGATTGCTGAAACCTCGGAGGAGATGGGCTCAGCTGGGAGCGGATGGGTGCTCCAAGAAGGAGACTTTGGCAGTGCTGGCAGCCTGAGGCTGGGGTGGCAACCGCTCAAGCATCAGTTGCTGAGCAGCACAAGGCCTCTGGTGCAGACGGGGCTCCAGTGGGCCGAGATGCTGCGGCCCACACTGGCTTTGCAGGAGCATCAGGCACAGCGGGCCTGTTCCCGGCTTGGGACATTGTGTCCCAGTGTGGGTTCTATTGCAGGGCTGGGGAGAAGGGTGGGCTTGGGGAGGAGATATGAGCCCCAGCTGGCCGCTGGCCAAAGGGAATCTTTAAATGGGAACATTTAAACCATTGGTGAAACACCATTAAAGGTCTTGGTCACTGGGATCTAGGCAGAGGTTCTTAAGCAGGTGAAGGGGTGGAAGTCACCTGTCAGGCCTTTTCAAATTGTGCTTGCCCTCCTCCCACGGGCCTCTCAGATTCTCACAAGCCATAGCCTTGAGACACACTTGTGCACTATCCTCAGGGGAGGTGGCAGTATGGGTGCATTCTGAAAAAGTTCTTGGGGTGATTCTGATCCATCCCCACTGGGTGCGGGACCCCTACCGTAGGGGAAGCAGGACTGATGGGAGAGAAGGCTTGGGACCCTCTTTGTATTTTGTGCCTTGGAATTGAACCATTTTCCAACAGCACTTCAAAATGTCGTCCGCCAGCCTAACAACAGTACAATCCCACCATTTCGAATTTCTACCCTTTTATCCACGTTGTAGTAAAATAATTATATAATCCTCACTCAGGTACACTGCATCCCAGGAAGGCAAAGGGCACACCTGAAGCCATGGTGCTCTTTCTAGAACACCATGAAATATTGATGTATTTATTTTTATTAAATGCTTTAAGAAAAATTTTATGGGTGGAAAGTATGACTCTGTAACATATGTATGCAATCTAAAATTACCACCAACTGTCCATGAAAAAAAAACTCAGCCTGTCAGACCAAGCCTAATTGGTTATTTCTGTGTTTTTCTGCTAGTTTTTGTTAGCTATGCTCATTTATTTGTTCTATTGTATCAGTGTTCACTGGCAGATAAGTGGTAGCAGTTGCCAAGGCTTTAAGGAAAATTTAAGAGACAAATTTCGACTGTCTGTATTGAGGTTGAGGTGTCTTTGAGACTTGTACGATTCCACCACCCCTGAAAATTGGTAATAAACGCAATTCTTTCATTTGACCTGTAGGATCCCCGAGGGCGGCTCATGGCGTCAGCTCAGGAGGACAGTTGGAGAACCACTGACTGAAATGATGACATTTCTTGCTTCTTTAACTGTCCAGCAGCAGCTGTGTTTATATTCCTGACCCGAGTCATGGGTGAGTTTTGTGGCATATGAGGACCCCCGCCAAAATGAAGGGCGTCCCCTGGGTGTCCCAGCTCTGGAGACTTGGTCCCTGTGTTCTTCCACCCTTAACACCTCTTCCCTCAGTCACACCAACTCGGAGCCTTCCTTCCAGGCTCACTTCATAGGCCACTTGCTACAGTCATCACACCAAGGCTTGAAGGACTTAGAGAGGTTGCCTCCAGGCGCAGGCACTAGCCCAGAGTCCCACTGAGCACCTAGGGGCCGGGGAGCTCACTACTTCCCAGAGAGAAGGTTCTCATGAAGCACCTTTGGTTCCATCTCTATCTTCTGAAATCGCCAGCTCTTAAATTCTGCTTCGTGTCTGCTGTCAGCACTTTCCCCCTTATGTTATTGTTATTTGGATGCCTACCATGTCACACAGTGGTATGGGCTCAGGTTTTAGAATCATTTGGGTTAAAAACCCAACTCATGTTTACCTTCCTCATTTACCAGCTGTGTGACCTTGGCAAGTTACTTAACCTCTCTGAGCCTCAGTTATCACATATGTAAAATGAGAATAAAATTAGTGTCTATTTCAAGGATTATTATGAGCCCTAAGGTAATGGAAGGAAACTGCTTGACATACAGAAAGCTGTCAGCCTAGGTATTACTCTTAGCTCCTCTCCCAGATTACAAAATTACTGAGGGCAGGGAGCTCTTCTTGGATATCTTCAAATCCCTCCACGACAGTCAACAAAGGAATCGAACGAACGTATGGCATGAAAGAGACCCGGCTGAACAGGAGAGGCAGGAAGCTTAGATCATTATTTGAAAGACCTAAAGTCATCAGAAGGCTTAAAAATGTAATGCCGACGCTCCTGCGAAAGAAACGTGCAGAGCAGAAAATAAAACCGAGAGCGGAATGCAAAGAGCAAGGACAAGTTGGGACAGGACATGGAGAAGCGACTGGGAAAGGTCGTGCAGGGGCAGGTGCATTTCGGGGGAAGAAGGTGCAGAGACGCACCATGAGAGCGCCCATCACCGCGGTCAGAGGGCCTCGCGGAGCAGGACATGCGCCGGCTGACCTCCAGCACGTTGATAGAAAAGGAAGACGATCTTCCCACCACACAAATCGTCTTAGGAGTCTGCAAATCGCCAGGACTCTTGTCTCCTGCTAGCCTGGCTTTACAGCCGAGGACCATGATGGCAGAGCGGCGGCCTCCCAGTACGCGTCAACCGGGGACCTTGCGCCCGGCTCCCGCCGAGGCCGCGGCGCTTCCTGCCGTCCCTTTCTCTCCGCGCGGCCCCAGAGGCTCATCCGGGAGCAGGAAGTGCCTGCGTGCGTGTGCGTTTCTGCAATTAGTCTTCTAAAGAAAAAACAAAACAGAGCAAGAAAGCTGGGTGTTTAGGGTTGTTCTAAAAACTCTTAAAAGACCAGCCGTTCAATGAGGCCATGTAAGAAGGGTGGAGGCTGGGGATCCAGATTCCCGGGCTTGGAGATTTGTGGAAATTCATCTCGGGCTAGTTTATGTTTATTCTGCGCTTCAAAAATGACTTTGAAGGTTTGTTTGGAAATTCCAGCTCAGGGGAGGAGGCCCTTGGAAACTGTCACCTGTACAACCTATCTTTTGGAGAGAGAAAACCGCCCTGGGAGAGCCTGGAGGAGCAGGCGGAGGGCACAGACAGGGCCGCCCACAAATCGCGTGCCCTGGAGATCACTGGGGTGCCGGCAGCGCCGCCCGCGCCACGCTTCTCCGTGCTGCCTGTGGGGAAATGGTGTGCTCTCTTAAAGGTATTATTGAACTTGCAAGCGTGCTGAGCCGGGGCACACGGGCTGTCTCCCAACCCGCTGTCAGGGACAGGTGGAGATCGGCAAATGCTACAAAACAGGGCTTTTTTCCTCCCGGAGAGTCAGCTGTTAAACATTTACCAGCGCGCCACTGCCACTGCGTATAAACAAGATCCGAGCAACCAGTTGACCTACCGGAGCGAACAAAGAGTTTAGCGTAAAACTGTGGGCAGATAAGCAGACAAGGTTAACTGTATTTTGTATCCCTTCATTAAGGAAAGCCTGATAGGAATGCCACCTAAAGGGACTCAGCGTTAGTGCCATTTACCGCCTATCCTCGGAAGTAACAGAATGGGCTTTCATTCTTTCTTTCCTTTCTTTTTTTTTCTTTCCCTAAAATGGAGGCCTCCAGTCGCAAAACTCCCCGTTTACAGATTACACATGCCTGATGGCATGAAAAGTCCACAGGAGTCTGGTGTGAAAATTCAGGATGTTGCCTGGAACTGGTGGCCCCAGATGCTGCGGCAGTTCAGGGTGGGTGGGGAGGTCCCAGAGGTCGGGACTGCAGTTTGGTGTTCTTTTATCTCAAAGCTGAATTCTGACCCCTCTCTTTTAAACCTTGTAACAGTTTTCCTTCAGGAACCGTCTGTACCTGGAAGTGCTGAGGCCTGCAAGCAGTGCGTTCAACTTCACAGTGTACCTAGAGACAGGGCCTTTGTGTGGTTTTGGAATTGCTCTCCATGCATTCCCCAAGTCGTGAGCCTCCAGGTCCACTCCACCAGTTGACCTACTTTTTCAGCTGAAAGACAATGGCCTGGCTTCCTAAAGTCCTATGTCTATAGATTCCAGCCAGGTGGGACCCAAGGTGCCTATTGAGTTAATTTCAAAGGTGTAATGTGTAATGGAAGAAGGACGGGACGTGGAATATGGAGTTTGGAGTCAGAAGACAGGTTCAAGGCAAACTAATCTATGGTGTAGAAGTCAGACAGTGGTTAGGAGTTTACTGGAAAAGGGCACGAGGGGACTTTCTGGGTGATGGAAATGTTCCATATCCTTTCCTGGTGGTAGTTACACAAGTGTATACATTTGTCAAATTCATCAAACGACACTGAAGATCTGTGTGTTTTTTACTGAATGTAAATTATACAGCAGTTTTAAAAAGGGCAGGTTCAAGTCCTGGCCCTCTCTGCTACATACTGTACAGACCACTTCTTCATCCCTTGGCCTTGTTTTCCCACCTACAAAATGGAAGGACCACTTGTACCTGTGCTGTGGGGGATCGCGTACATTAATGAGACCGCGTGAGTCAGAATGCTCTGCAAATGATAAGCAGCCCATCCATGGTGACTCCCATTGTTATGCTTTCCAGCCAGCTGCCCTCGAGAGCAGATTACCGAGCTGGTACAAATCTGTGGGCTCTGCTTTGCAACTTCCTTGGAGATTAGTGTTTATCTGTCTATTTTAAGGAGACTCTGGAGATATCAAAATGCTGCAGAAAAGCAAATGGAATATGGATTTGCCAGGGAGAGGAGAGCAGGCTGGAAAGGAACAGCTGGGGAGAGAGCCATCAATCCAGCACGGCAGCAGGGCCAGACGGACGCCGAGAGGGAGCCGCTAAATGCCTGTGAGAGTCGTGACCAGTGAAAGCAGCGTGAGTTAAAAAAAATCACATCTTGCCAAACAAACTGGGTCACATTGGTGATGGAGTTAGTCACTGAGCAGAGACGGGAAAGCATTTTCAGGGGAAAAAGCAGAAGGTGTGGAGCCGGTGGTGACTCAGCTGGAAGTGGCAAAGGCCTCTTGGGCCTCCTGGCCTGGTTTGGTAGGTAAGTGAAAGATTCTCCACGTGGCTCCCGCTGGGCATCTTGTGGTATTTCGGTTTTGAACTTGATCTTTACTCCTAAAGGCACTCACAAACAACCTTTACATTGGAATCAAGAGCACAGCACAAATTTTAAAATGGAAAATCGTAGAGAGAAGCCAAGTTAAGCTGAGACAGGGAGAGTGGGAAGGCCATTCTGGAGTTCGCCCTCGGAATTCAAGTGGGAGGTGATGTCTGTCTGAAGGCACCCCAGCTCCTGAGGGGCGGCGCCGGCCAAGTCTTTGAATGCAGACACTTTAAAATCAAGGCAGACAGCAAATGCCCTTTGGCCACAAGATCCTATAAGATGAATGAACGACGCTGAAATCAAATTTTCAATTCTTAGTCACTAAAATAAAGCTAGAATAGGGAAAGATTCAACAGGAAGAAATAATCTACAAGAGAAATCTGATGTGTGAAATTTTGATTTTATCCTCATTATAAAAATTTTGGTGCTTTCTGCTAGATATTTCTGCCAAGAAATGTGATATGTTGAAAAAGAAGAGGAAATATACTCTGGAGGCTGTGACTATAAAAGGCTGTTTAAAGTGATCGGAATCAGTCGAGGTTCTCCCAGCAACCGTGGTTATAAAATTAGGATCTTAAACTACCAAATCTGGGTGAGAAAAAAAAACTTCAGTAAAAGCGACATCTAAATTTATGTTATATAACTTACATTTCCCCACAGTGTTTGTCTTTTCTCTGGGCACGTCAGACCTTTTATGTCGTTAATTTCCGACCCTAAGAGCCATTCCTATTGGAGCAAGGCAGCGAGATGGGGTGAGGGGGCACCGTGAGAAAGCAGGGGTGTCTTTCCTGTGACCTCTGAATTGGAAAGAGGGCGCCACGGTGAGATGCCGACATGTGCACGTGGGGTGTGTCAGTGTGTTGATGCCCGTGCTCAGGATGCTGAACAAAACCTGGGTGGGAGGAGCTTTCCCCACCCAGGCCTTTGTCTCACTGGAAATCTGATGCCTTAAACCTCCGCCTCAACCCTCAGTGACTCCAGTCTGTAGCTGTACTGCTCTGTTAGTCAGCCCGCACAGCATCTGAGACTTGGCCTTTTGCAGCCTGGTGCTAGCTCCATAGGCTTCTTCGCCCCCCTTTGTCGAGGTCTTCAGCAACAGTTGAAGCTACAACTTCTGCTCCAAGTGACTCGGGGCTGTGAATCGTCAGAGAATCCATTATTTCTCCCTGGTTTTGGAGCTGACAGACATGGGTGTGAAGCTCAGGTCCGTCGCTTATTGGCCAATTAGGAAAACTCTGTGAACACTGATTTTCTTGCCTTGAAGGATGGCACAGAGCTGATACGCATGAGCTATAATTAGCTGCTTAACATTTTTGCCAGTGACTTGAATGGACCTTGATGGTGAGATTGCCAAGTCAGCAGGCAACCAGAAACAAACAACAGACTCAAGGTCTCAAAGACTGTGTTTTTGTCCCAAATCAACTTTCCAAGTACAGAACTGGGGGACATGTGATTTAATGGCAGCACCTGTGTGATCCTGTGATATAATAAGAAATATGTATTTTGTCTTCATCCCTCGTTCCTGGTACCAGATCTTCTAAAACCCTTGGAATTTCCTGAGTGACAGGGGTGACAGGAGCATCTTTGTTATTTATAATAAGCCCCTTTCAACCATACTTGAGTTTATGCTAATGAAGTGACCCTTGTGGTGGTGGTGGTGGGGGGGTCCCTTGAGAGCTTCAGGATGGGAGCTCATCGCCTATGTGATTAGAGGGTTGGAACTTTCAGCCCCACCCCCGACCTCCAGGAAGGGGAGAGGGACCAGAGATTGAGCTAATCACCAAAGGCCAGTGATTTAATCAATCATACTTATGTAATGAAACCTCCCTAAAACCCCCTAAACCCTGGGGTTTGGAGAGCTCCTGGGTTGGTGAACACACTGAGGTCCTGGGAGGGTGACTGCCCATGGAGGGCATGGAAGCTCCCCCATCCCCCTCCCCTAATACCTTGTCCCATGTATCTCTTCCATTTGTTCATTCGTATCTTTTATAATATCCTTCACAATAAACTAGTAGTAGTGAGTAACGTGTTCGCCTGAGTTCTGTGAGTTGTTATAGGAAATTATTGAACCTGTGATAGCCAGCTGGTCAGAAGTACAGGAGGCTCTGGGACTTGTGTGTGGCATCTGAAGTGGGAGCAGTTTTGTAGGATTGAGCCCTAACCTGTGGGATCTGTGCTAACTCTGGAGGGTTGGTGTCAGAACTGAGTTAAATTGTGGAACACCTAGTCGGTGTCCAGAGATTTGGAGAATTTGTTGGTGTGGGGAAAAACTCCCACTCATTTGGTGTCAGAAGTGTTGTGAATAGAAGAAGATCATAACCTGTGAAATAGATTTAGGAGTCTGGCCCACAGTGAGCCCCTGTAGGGACAGAGCCAGGACAAGGTAATCTGATTGTGTCAGAGTTCTTTAGTTGCAAGCAATTGAGACAGACTCTGACAAACTTATTTGGAAAAGAACTTTGCTAGAAAGCTATGGAATAGTTGTTGGATGCTGAAGGGCCAACCCTCAAGAATAAGAGGAAGGGGACATTAGCAGGATTGAATGGACAGACTTTGTGTGTCCCCCACCCCATCAGAATGTCTCTGCTCCACTGTTTTTTGTTATATCATTCTCCCCAAAGCTCAAAGGCCTAAGAACCAGAGTCGGAACGGCCTAAATTGGTTTCTGTGTGCTACCATCCCAGTAGGAGGGGGCAGGGAGAATCTTGACTGAAGGGCCCTCAAGACTTCTCAGACTAAGGGAAGAGTAATTCCCCAATGGGAAATCAGGGTGCTTTCACCCAAAACAGTGGAAAGGCATGTTCGATAGGCCAAAGCAAGAGATCTCCCCTGTTAAAAGAAAGGAGCACGAAAACAATTCCATCTTACCCTTCCCTGGTCGGATCAGGTCCAGTTCTGGGCGGCACACTTTCAGAGGCCTTTGCTTGGGAAGGTGTGAAAAAGGGCAACTAAGATGGTCAACATCTGGAAAACATGACACATAAGAAATGGTTGAAACAGAATTGAGGAGATCGGACCCAAAAAAGAGAAGACTGAGGGGGCATCGAATGGCTGTCCTCAGATATCTGAAGCTCTGGTACATAGAAGAATAGTCAATTTGGTGGCTCTAAAAGGAAGAACTAAAACCAATAAACAGACTTGAAAGGGGGAGAGATTTCAGTTCAGTATTTATAGGAAAGATCTTTCAAGAAATCAACTGCTGGAAATTAAATGAGCTGGCATAAGGTAGGGAACTTTCCATCCCTGGGAAGCCTCAGTTCTTTAATTAGCAAGAGCAATAAGCACACTCCTCACTTTGGATTACAGCACACCGTGTTGTGGCCCTGCGGCTGAGGACCCTGACCTAACAGCTCTCAATGAAACAGCACTCCCTGTTTGGCCACATCTGCCGAAGAGCGCTTTCCCGTGTGTGAAGCTCCAGATGTGCACAATGTGAGTGATGAGGATGGAGAGGACAAGAAGGGGCTCCTCCAAATGTCCTTTCTAACCAACTGCCCAGGGCCACATGGTACAGGTACACCATGGGAGAGTCTCTAATTTAGAGTACTCCTTCACCCAAGGGCCTCTTTTGGGATGCGTGGCATTAACATAACCTTCATGCACCTCCCAGTGGGAATCTTGCTTTATCAGTGAACAGCATTCAACAAAAATATGTCGAGTCTCTTGGGCTATGCCTACTATTAGAAAGTAGAGTATCAGCATTGGAAGGGACTTTTGTGATTAATGGGTTTACAATGCTTGAATATATCCAATGGCATTCTTGACAAGTTTGTAACTTGGTCTCAATTTCCTTCAGACACCCAGGACCTCCTAAAGTAGTCCACACCACTTTGGGCAGTTTTGGTGACTAAAATTTTTTACTTTGGGGTAAAATCTACCTGCTGTGTGGCTATATCTGTCGATTTTTAACAATTATATCCTACAGATAGAGTCCCCATGAGCTCAGAGACACGTGCAAAGATAGTCACTGCAGCAAAGGGCCACATGGTTTCCGTGTTTCATTGGGGGACTCACTAAAACAAATTCTGGAATGTCTGTTCTGTGGAATATCGGGCAGCTGGTGAAAAATGGAGCCATTCTCATGCACTGATGATGTACAGGGAAAAAGCTTTACAGGAGTTCTTCTGCCCCGGCCATCTCTAATTCATGTTGATTTGTGAGAAAAAGGGAGTGGCTCAATAATACGTATCATCTTGTATGGTCAAAAAGAAGGATACACATAAATATATGTTTAGGTTTTATCTGGAAAGATACTGGTAACTGGTTGCCTCTGAGGAAGGAAACTGAGACTGGGTGTCGGGGTGGAAGGGAGAATTGTATGTGTATGTGTATATGTAGACATATACGTGTATTTAAATGTGTATTATGTATGTCTCCCTTCTTTTTTTTGAAATTTTTTACCCTGTGCATGTATCACTTAAAAAAAGTCTTTGAAAATCTGCCCTCCTAGGTAACAAAAACAAAAATAGACAAATGGGACTATATCAAACAAAGTCTTCTGTGCATTAAAGGAAACCATGAGCAGACTGAAAAGCCAACCTATGGAATAGGACAAAGTCTTGCAAATCATATATCCCGAACGTATAAGGAACTTCTACAAATCAACAACAAAAACAAATAACTTGATTAGAAAGTGGGCAAAGGACACAAATAGACAATTCTCCAAAGAAGATATACAAATGGCCAGTAAGCATGTGAAAAGATGTTCAACATCTTTATAGCAATGCAAATCAAAACCGCAAAGAGCTATCACCTCACACCCAGGAGGGTGGTCACTATCAAAAGAACAGAAAATAGCAAGTGTTGGCGAGGATGGGGAGAAGTTGGAGCGCTGGTGCACTGTTGGTAGGTGCAACCCAATGTAAAATGGTGCAGCCATTATGGAAGACAATATAGATTCCCTCAAAAGTTTAAAAATAAAATTACCATATGATACAGCAATCCCACTTCTGGGTATATATCCAAAAGAATTCAAATCAGGATCTTGAAGAGATAGTTGCACATCCATGTTCACTGCATTATTCACTATGATCAACAGGTGGAAGCATCTCAAATGTCAATCCACAGATGAATAGATAAATATGGTGTATACATTCAATGAAATATTATGCAGCCTTAAAAAAGAAGGAAATCCTGTCACATGCTACAATATGGATGAAGCTCAAGGATATTACGCTGAGTGAAATGTCAGTCACAAAAGGACAAATGTTGTATGATTCCACTCACCTGAAGTATCTAACATAGTCAAAATCACAGAGACAGAAAGTAGAAAGATGGTTGCCAAGGGCTGGGGGGGGGGGTGGAAATTAGTGTTTAATGAGTGTAGAGGTTCAGTTTTGCAAGATGAAAAAGTTCTAGAGATCTGTTTTTCAACAGTGTGCATATACTTAACACTACTGAAGTATAGTACACTAAAAAATGGTGAAGATGGTTCTAAAAAAAAAAAATCTTGACCTCTTAATTCCTATCACAGGGCCCACTTGGTTCTACCTCTTAAAGCTGTAGAGAATACCTTAAACTTTTTTCTACAACAGCGTGCATTTGAAGACTTCAACCATGACCGTTAAACTGATGGCCCCTTTCTTTACACGGGTTCCACCTCCGGCCTTCTGGTCATCCACCGCCCCCCCCCCCCCCCCCCTATATCGGAGGGCACAGAACCTCCAGCCGGGCTGCAGCAGGACCATGGGCGCCCTCCACGCCCCGAAGCCCGCACGCTGTGGGAGAGGGGCTCACAGAGGCCCCCCTGTCCAGGGAGACCCTGGGTATCTGGGGAGGGGAGGGCCTGGAGTGGGGTGTGGATGGGGAGGGAACGAAGGCTGAGTGGGCCGAGGCGAGCTCTGCTAAGCTGCGAGGCCCTGACCTCACTGCCTGAGCGTTCCCTACACACGGTGGCGAGTTTGCTAGAAAAAAAGAGAAAACCAGTATCCCTTACATTTGCACAGCTACTTTCCACTTTTTAAGGCATTTTATAAACTGTTGGGTTAAATTTGCTACTGACCACAACCCTGCAGGCAGTCAGTCAGCAACTGTTTTCCTCATTTCAGAAAGAGACGGCCCAGGGATTGAGGACCTCCTCTTGTCTTTTGAGCCTTTACTGGGTGGACCCTGTCTGTTCTGCAGCCTGCCTTTGAGTTCACAGAAAAACAAACAAATAAGCTAAACAAAAACAAAAACAAAAAAGGCCATTTGCTAAATTGCCCCAAGCCTTATACTTTTGAGAGATTGAGAATGTTTTTTAGAGAGAGCGAGGAGACAGACTGAACTGTCCCCAGATCATCACGCACATCCCGGAGGGCCAGAGGCCTTTTGTGGGGTGCCCTTGGCTGGGGCCCTCACTGAGCCCGGAGAGCTGGGCCTCTCCTTTGCCTCCACTGGCGAGAGCTGGGCCTGCCTCCAGCACCGGGTGAGAGACCGGTACACTTCCTGCCCCGTGGCCAGGGCCTGGGGCCCCCCTCCTGCAGGGGCTGGAACCCCAGAGTGGCGCTGACAGAGGTGGGAAGGCAGAGGGAGACAGGGCCTGTGGCAGGCAGGATGAAAGGGTGCGGGCCTCCGGAGGCCTCCAGCCCGCGGGCTGCCACAGGCCCTGGGCCCTTGCTGTTCCTCTCAGCCGGCACACCCCACCCCCTCACCCAGGGCTGCTCGACCGTCCGCCTCTCGCAACTTTGTTTTCCCGTTTTAGGACGCTCTTCCTGGCCATTTTAACCTAATTTCATCAGGATAAACAAGTCTGGGAAGCAGAGGACAAGTCACAGAGGAAAATTTCCTTGCAGTCTGGAGCACCAGGGGCCCCCAGGGAATGAGAACACAGCTTCCCTTCTTGCACACAGAAAAAGACGTTTTACTAGCAAAGACGCTCCCTGGCATTTCAAACTGGCAAACGCTGGGTTAGCGAGGAAAGGAGGCGGGAGAGGAAGGTGGAGGGGCTTCTGCAGGAAGTCGGCTTTCTGGCCTCTCACTGACAGATCTGGTGGCAGGCAGTGATATTTAAAATATTTAACGAGCCGGCCTGACCAATCAGAGCCTGACCTCCGAAGCCGGCTCGGGGAGGCCCCCTGCTGGGCCGTCGGTAGCCCCTTTGGTTGCAGGGTGGCGGGGAGGTGGGGAGACCCAGGGGCGGGGCCGGGGCTGTGGCTGTTTACCAACCGTGTAGAAGTGTTTCCACGTGAACACGTGGTGGGCTGTAGCATGTCACAGCAGCTGAGCCTCGGTCCTGATCGGGAGGGGATAAGAACTGGTGGGCCTGATCGCCTCTCTGACCACCGCGCGACCCCTAAGTGCTTATTCCAAATCACGACTTCCGTCAGCGGGCTCACCCAGACCCTGGCCGAATCGCAGATGGTGCCCTCCCCCACGCAGAGGCAGGCAGTGCCCGCATGCCCCGGGTGCAGCGGGGTGCCTCTGCCTGCAGAAACTCCTGCGTAGGTCTGACATCTGAGGAGCAAGCGGCTCTGGCTCTACCAGGAGGAATCTTTCTCTTGCTTTTCCACCCTCCTTCCAGGATGACGAGCAGCTGGAACATACCGGTGGAACGGATGCCTGCTCTTGCCAGGAATCCAGGGCTCTTCCTCTGCAAAGAGGAGGGGGCTGGGCTTCCACAGCCGCTGACAGATGTCTGCGGGAAGGGGCCTCCACACCTGCCAAGCCGCCAGCTTCCTTTCTCGTTCTCGAGGGCTCTGGGTAACACAAGCATTTGAAAAATGCGTCGTGTGTGCTGCGGTTTCCACTTTCCCCCAAGACCGGCTGTCTCATCTCCTGAGAGTGAAAAATCAAGCAGCTGAGTTTCCTAAGATGGGAGGCAAGAGGTGGCATGTGAAGCAATATGCATGTCGCCCGGTAGCCACGCTTCATCCCCAGCCCAGGATGGAGGTCAATGTTGGCCGCTTTGCCCTGAAAGAGGAGACCATAAAGACTCCTTTCTATTTTCACAGTCGACAACTTCTGTTCTGGGGAGGCTTGAAATGGAGCACTTCGTTTTATTTATTTCATTTCTATATATACTGCTTTTACTTCTAATACATATATGTAGTTTAAAAATTCACATGTTTACGAGGCTTATGAAAAAATCACAACCCAGTAAACTTCTCCCATACCCATGCTTACTGCTCCCACAAGCCAATCGCGGTCTGTGATTTTAGCTGTACTCCTGGTATTTACAGCAATCATTCTAAATAATATGTTTATAAAGCTGTATCCTTACTTTGTTAATTTTTCAAATAATCTGCTGACCCGTTACTGTGGAAGATGAGGGTTTAGCTTTTTCCTCCTCCCTCCTGGACACAGGTATTCATACTTCTCCCTCACTTCCCCACGGAGTTCCCATGTTTCTTCCTATCTTAGATGCCATCCGTTCTAAGATGTACCATTATTTGTGAATTACTACAAAAGAACAAAAGTGCTCCCAATTAAACTATGATCCAGTACTTTCTTGTCATATTGACTACAGGATACAGTCTGATTTTCAAAATGTTAAAATGTGGAGAATATGTACATTTTAGAATATTATGAATTATGGGACATCACAGTTTCTGATTAAATCACCGATCAGTATTTACATCATTCTGTCTATGTACATATTGTTTCACAATGGACTATAATTATATTTCTGCTCTTGTACATCTCCCCGCCCCGCCCCAGAGTTACTAACTGCCTTGTCTATTTAATTGTGTAGTTTTTTGGTATTTGTGAGTAATTCATCCCCAAACTGTCCTCAACATGATTATCACATTGGTAATCTCTTAGTTGCGTTGTGGGGACATCCTCGGGGAGCTGTCTTCCTGCTCCACGCTCAGGTTCCTCCTTGGTGCACTGCAGTTATCATCTCAGAGCTTCCCTTCAGCATCATCCCGGGAATTCTCTTTTTTTCTCTCCTGTGTTGGATCTCCTGTGTCTTGGCGCTCCTATCTTCTTTCTTGGTTAATTCTTTGTTTTGTTGGAGCACATCCTCCAGTAGCTTCCCGAGAAAGGGCTCATGGCAGGTAAATGTTTGGAGACTTTGTAAATGTCTTTATTCTACTCTTGTACTTGATAGCTTGTCTGGATATAGAAATTGACTTTGGAAATAATTTTTCTTTGTGTTAGAGGCTCCCTTCCAATGTCTGGTGATTTGCCACTGGCAATAACATGATGTGTGCATGGGCAAAGCTTGTTGATCAGTGGGCTTCCTGTCGGTGATTCTGCTGTGATCTGGATGTTTCACTGGGGGATCCGGCTAGGTCATTCTCTGTAAGTCTTTTCTCTTGGACTGGTCAGCTTTCCTAGAGATGAATCATCTAATCTTCTGCCCGTGGGGTATAAGCCTCACTACCAGCATTCTGGGAGCCAAGAGGGGGAAGAGGACAGTGGGATCTTATAATTCAAAATGCAGATGGTCATTTAATGCCCTGTTTCTGCAGTGTGTCACATGTGGATATATCTCAGTTGTGCCCACAGTTCAAATGATCTCAGCTTCAACCTTTCCTCCCAGGGCTGGGCAGAGCAGTGGGCTGGCTGCACAGGTGTGGGAAGCAATGTGGGGCGTCTCATCACTCCTTGCACAATTTTCAACGTATTTGTTTTCAGCACACCTGCACCCATGTTCTGCACAGAGGGAACCAATTTCTGTTTCTTTCTGAGGTTCTGTGGTGTAGCTGATTTGCTGCTTACAGGCTTCCCTCCCTGTGGGCTGGGTTTTGGCTTTATCTTTTCTGCTAAATTAATTACTTCTCATTCATCTGTTTTTTTAGTTTCCAGAATATAGGTGACATTTCTTGTCTGCTGTTGTCCCCGTTCCTGTTCTCTTTGTCGTGTGGGTCTAGACAGTGGTGTGCTGGTAAATGACAGCTGGCTCTTGGGGGAAGGGAAGAGCCCTAGTTTGTAGCAGTCCAGTTTCCGTGGTGTAAATACTCTTACTGTGGCTGATTTCCAGCTACCCAAAGGATGTCACTGAAAAGGCAGATGGGAAGAAATGCAGAGTGAGACATTGTTATATAATCTTCACACCATACAGATCCAATAGACATAAACACTGGACATAACTAACCTCCAGAGGATATATAATGGTAAAATTATTGTGAAGTGATGTTTTGAGAATGTGTTAGCTTTGCTTGGAATATAATTTTTTTAAATCATAAGCTTATAGAATTTAGTTTTCAAACTAACTGTATTTAACAACTGGCTCGAAAAATTCCTAAAAATTTAGCAATCAGTTCTCATAAACCAGTATCAGCTGGCCCTAGCATACAACTGGGTTCATGCCTTTTTAATGATTTAATTGTCATCTCAGTTTATTATTAAAAAACTGTTTTCCATTTGCTGCTCTACGTATTGAGGTTTCCCATTCATATATTGGGGTTTCCCCCCAGTTTTATTGATATAATTTACATATAACCCATATATTGTTAATGCAATGGTAATCCACCCAAAATTCACACTGTCTAACTGTAACTCCAAACTGTGGTGAAGAAAGAACGACACCTCAGTGGAATGAGGTAATGCTTGATTTGAGGAGTAAACAGAAGAGTTAAAATAACATGCAGTATGAGTAGGTAATTAGTACCCACAGCTATACTCAGAGGAAAGTGATGTCAACACGATGGGACATGAGGTCTTGCTAAAACAAGGCAGTAACCGGGCCAACCTTTCTGTTCTGATTTAATCTTAGTTGTTAAGAAGACCATTTAGTGTATCTGCGTTTCTGGGCGCTTCTATGAAGTAGTGCCAACCAACTTCTTACTCCAATCACACATGACCATGGAGGTCCGTGTAATAACGTTCAGTGCCTGCACAGAGCCTTTCATTAGCTGAGCTCAAAGCATTTTACCAGCAGTGCCTCATTAAGTCTCACCACACCCCAGCGTGGGAGTGGAAGCGAAATATCATTATCCCCACTTTACAGATGGAAGAAACAGAGGCCTGAAAACAAATCAACAATAGTTGAGACCAGCTTGTCAGCCTGCAAATCCAGTATGCCGTCTATTCACGACAATAGGATCTTAGGCACTGCTTTATATTTTCTGCCTCTATCTAGCAAGGTGATAGTGTGGCTTTATTATCTGAAATAAGAGTTCTTTTAAGTCCTAAATTGTATGATTTTGGTTTTGACCTTTGTTGACCCTCCCACACCTTCTTGCTTGCATGACTTTACAGTATTTTATGTACATTATTCAACATAACTCCAGTCTAGCTGTAGGAATAGGGGAGTGTTGACAGCAGCAGAAGGCTGCACCATTTGGGTACAAACAGAAGACCAGACACTGTGGTTTGGTCCCCAAGCTGAGCAGATCACAAAGCATTAACAATTGCCAAAATAGACAACAGACTTTGTGAACATTTGCTATGTGCTACATATGGAATTTAGTGCTTCTATGCATCATCTCATTAAATTATTTTAATCTTCACAACAACAATTTATGGTTGGTATTAATATTATCCCTGTTTTACAGGCGAGGAAACGGAAGCTTAGAGAATCTCAGTAAACAGAGCTGGCCTCTTAGCTAGAGTGACTGGTGTGGTGATGGACCTGGCACCCAACAGGATCCTAACCCAGGACTTTCCTGGATGGACCGAGCAGAAGACCCCTTTCTTCTCTGGCCACAGAGTCATTTGACTGTGAGCCCAGTGAGATGGGCTCCCATGGCCACTGTTGTGTGCAGAAAGCGCTCTGTAGGAGGAGAGAATGAAATCCACACACAGAGAGGAAAGCAGAGACAATAGTGAGGAGAAAGAATCCTGATGGCATTCACGTCCTTGCCTCCGAGTCCCTGCTTCTCCTTCTAAGCTAGCTTGAGTTCAGCTTTTGTCACTCAGCCACTAGGAGAGTCCTGACCAATGCAGTGTTCACACACCATGCTCTCCTGTTGCAAGATACGACCATATTTACCAGGATAGGGGAGCCCACCACTGGGGCCCTCGGACTTACCCCGATCAATGTCAAATCTAGAAGCAGGTAAACTTTCCCCACAATACAATCCTCCTGCTTCTAAACACACTCTGTATCTTACCCATAATATTCTTCTCTATGTCTTGGTACTCGGCTCAAGCATCCTAATGCAAATACATATGTCGTGATAACGTGGCCGTCTTAGAGATGACATGCATTACTTTGTCTTCTGACCTCAGGAGGCAGGAGAACATCCATGACACCAACAATACAAACAAGACGATGGCACTGCTGGCCTCGGCCGTCAGTGTCTAGACTGCACGATTTCTGCAGGCCAAAATTTTTATTTTTGATGGGACGGGGTAGAGGGGAGCATCATAGTGTTATACACATTTTTTAAAGATTTTATCTTTTTCCTTTTTCTCCCCAAAGCCCCCCTGTACATAGTTGTATATTCTTTGTTGTGAGTCCTTCTAGTTGTGGCATGTGGGACGCTGCCTCAGCATGGTTTGATGAGCAGTGCCATGTCCTCGCCCAGGATTGGAACCGGCGAAACACTGGGCCGCCTGCAGCGGAGCACGTGAATTAACCACTCAGCTACGGGGCCGGCCCTGAGTTATAAACTTTTAATTTTGCCAAACAGGGCTAGTGAGGTTAAATTTATCTCTCTCCAACTCTTCATTCATTCATTCATTTATTAAAAAGTCTCGTAAATACTCTGCTGTAAGCCCCGAGGGTATAAAGCAATCTTAAGTCACTAGAAGACTATAAAGGATCATAATTCTTCTTCCTACAATTCCACTCTTCACTGACGCCTCTGATTACTGTGCAGAATTTACGGGAGAGTATGTGGAGGCTGTCAGTCATTCTTGTTGGCAATCATTTAAACAATGGGTTGGGAAGCTCAGAAGAGAAAAGGAGGTGACGAGGAAGCCATGGCTGCAGAGGTGAATGTAGTGTGGGCTGGGGGCAGGTGTGGGGAGCAGGGCAAAGGGCACGGCCTGCCCTGCAGGGGCCGGCAGCCCCAGAGCTAAGGGAAGTGTGAGGCCTGCTGCGCTCTGACATGCCT